CATGTTTAATATTATTATTAATATATAAATATTATTATTTTTATTATTATTAATAAATTTGAAAAAAAATATTACTATTGAAAAAAAACATGGATTTGATTTGAAGGGTAAAATAATAATAATAAAATTTTTTAAATTATTATTATAATAATAAATTTTTTTAAATTATTATTATTATTATTATTAGTAGTAGTAGTAGTAGTAGTAGTAGTAATAGTAGTATTCTTAATAATAAATTTAAAAAATTATTATTATTATTATCAAAGAAAAACCATAAATTTGATTTGAAGGGATTAAAAATTATAAAAATTTAGGTTAGATAAATTTAATATTATTATTAATATAATTATTATTAAATTTGAAAAAAATATTATGACTATTAAAAAACAAACATGGATTTGATTTTAAAAAAAAAAAATATTATTGTTGTTATGGTTGTTGTTATATAATTATTAAAAAAAAATTAAAAATATTATTAGTATTGAAAAAAAAAAAGTCACACAGACCTAGCAAAGCCACACCTATAACCTGATAAAAACACCAAATTCAAGTAATTTGAATCTGACAAAGAATGCAACATCACACCCAACGGCCATGTTATTGACAGGCCTTTTTCTTTTCGTGCTGACAGGCCATTTTGTTCCTGGCTCAAATGCACGATACATACCAGTCTATTGTTTCCTGCTGCTTTTGAATTGATTTTTAAGATCTGAAGTTAAATCATTGCTATGTTTAGGCTCTATCTTTCCCGTGATTCGATAATTCTTCATGAGAATCATCGAGAAGAGACCTGTGAACTCACCCTTGTCGTACAAAAACTTACCCTGGAATACCGAATTACTGTTAAAAAAACAAGGGATCAACTTAATTGGCTGCCATGAAAGCTCAAGGCAGTTCCAAAAGCTGTTAAAAAATCAATATGTTAATATTGTTCGAGGCTTGGAACATCCAGATTGAGTCCATATTATATTAAACTCTTGCAGTAGAATACTTTTGCGAACATCCTCACAAGCAAAATTGTGGTCAAGACCAAACTACAAAAGATAAATTTAAACACTGAAACGCCTTAAAACATGCTCATCTGGATCATTGGCAATGGTCAGATTTGGCATCTTTTGGCTGTTAGGGATGAAGACATTGGTCACAGCAGATTCCGATACAAAAGAAGCTACCATAAGACGGGAAGCCCGCAGAAATAGACAGGAAAAAGAAAAAGGGATCAACTAGAGGAATTGGATATACTTATCACAGAAACATGTACATCCTTGTCAGTCTTGACACGTTAAAGAAAAACACAGATTCATCTAACTTTGCCGTATAGATTAATAAGTGTGCTGGTGGTGGAATGCAGGCTAGTGAACCAGTCATGAGCCATGTGTGGACACTGTAGCGTTCTGGCAAAAACTAGCGCTAGCAGTTGGTAAGTAACCCAGAAACACTAGCAAATTGCTATAAGATTATCTTGAAACAGTTAATCTGAAATTTATAGAGGTTACATAGATTATCTAAAAGCCCTCCCATTTGAAAAGAAAAAATCACGTAAAACAATTATGGAGTGTAAGATGAGATTTAGAGCAAACCTGTCAATGGACAGATCGCTATTCATCAAGTTACGAAGTATAAACTTTGTTAACAGTGAAACAAAACACCTATAGATTGTTCTAACAGCTAGGGTCATGCTATGAATTGGGAATCATAATATCAGTCATAATTGCGAATTAATGTTTAATAGTACTTTCCATTTCCCCAATATTTACAATCCTCAAGAATGGAACAGGAATTTAAAGACAGAAATCCTTTATCTAATTGCTTCTTACTTTAAATGTAAGGCATCGTACCGAAATTCGAAACCCGAAAGCAGAAACAGCCTTGGAGAAAAGACCATGGTGAACAGCCTTCTTTATAGACTAGGACCAGAGACATTATTTACTCGCGACCTGAAAAGGCAGATTCATTTCCCTGGATTTTCCACTAGCCCTTGGGTGCATGTATATGGAATGAGAATGTGTAAATTGAGCCAATAGAAATATATTGTATAATGATATGTTTACTAGACTCATCTACCATTGCTATTCATTCAACATCTTCAATAAACTATTCTTAATCACGTACCTATGCTCATAGCTTCCAAATTTTGCACACACACAAAAGAAACAAAAAACAAAAACAAAAACCAAAACCAACACCAATGAAAAAATATTCTCAAGTTTTTGCTGATGAAGGAATATTGGCTAAGGGTTATTCGCAGATCGATAAAGGAAGCTACCAGAGACGTGAAGCGTGCAACACGATGATATTCTGGGGAGATCAATCTCCGACAGCAATAACTAGAAAGAGCTGTGATTTGGAAGACATAATATATCTTTTGTTCTGGCTGTAGCACTACAGAGAAGTTTCAGGACAATAACCAGACAGTATTGGCTGCGAAGTCTTTGAAGAACAGTAGAAAAACACAGCTTATTTCCCAGTTTTGAAATTCCTTCGTATCACAAACCTTCTGTTTCCATTTACATTTCACGGTGCTGCCATTCAATTAATTAATATTTCGTTATGAAAAGCTTACAAAATAGTCCAGAACAACTTAAAATACTTTTTGTGACTTCATCATAGATTGCAGAAGGAGATAGCAGGAACGCTGAATAGATATTTAGAACTTTTAAAAAAACTGTGTTTCCTCGGGAAGGTATAATTTCTAGTGTATGCTTTGCCACCAAGTGAGAGCTTTTTTCGGTGTGGTTCAAGATACTCTCTGCCTACCAATTTGGAGCTGTAAGCCCTTTCTAAATTGTGTTTCCATACCGAGTCAAAAGAGAAAACAACTATAGTTTAGGTATCATGGAGCAAAAGAAGTACCTTAATTCGACGTACATGGAAGACTTGAGATTCAATAATACTCCTAAACATGACAGACTATCTATCACATTAATAAAAAACCAGGTTCAAGATGACCAGAAAATATACTTGATCAATTAACAACACAGATGTCGTCAAGATTATTCTTTCAGAACGTCGGAAATGAAGGCATCTTTTGGCATCTTACGTATGAAGGTATCAGTAAGAGCAGATTCAGATACAAAAGAAGCTGCTAAGAGACGGGAAGCCTGCAGCATGAAAAAGAAAATGCCCATCAAACCAATATTCCTGTTTGAAGACTGTTATGATGCGAATTTTAACAAATTCCATTAACTTAAAAGGATCTTAGAAGAACAGGCAAAATAGTTTTTTTGCCACTTCTATCCTATAAATCTGTTAGGTTGAATAAATAGAATAAAAAATAATAAACTTACAGTTCTGAAGACAAAATTAACAAAGACATAAGCATGAAATTGACAGGCCTGATTTTTCTTAAGAGCTTTATAATTAACTATTAAATATCATGGCTAATAAGAGAGTGCAGAAATTAGTTAGTTTGACTTACCTCTTCTCTGCCAACTTGAACCTCGCAGACATGGATGTCATTCAAAGGTATCTTCAATTTTTCCAGTAAAGATAGTTCTGAGGCAGGCGATATTGGTGTAACAACAAGATCGTCACTTACTGTGAACATCGCAGGATCTAGCAAAAATCCATCACCTTCAGTGCCCTCTTTGTAGGATGATTTGGGATCCATCATAGTTAAAAGTGTGGGTGTATGACCAAGATGACATATTCTTTCAGTTACTTTTACATCCAGATAAGAAGAAAATGCGGAATTAGAATTCCGATTATAGTAGTACTGCAGGTTATGAGCAGCTTCTTTAACACCTAGTGGCTGGTTCTTATAGCCAGAACCAGGTGCAATCCTAGGATTTAGGAGAATCTCTTTAATGTCATTTGACTTGAGGTATTTCGTAGCATCGAGATAAATGACACTGTCATATAGGTGGTGGATGCATCCTTTTGATTGTCCACCATGCCTTTCATTTATCAAATACCCAAGTGGAATGGTGAGAAAACTAAAAAGTAAATCAACAAAATCTTTTGACGCTTCTGCGTAACATACCACTTTCTTGGATTTGCAAACCACAAGCAATACAGACGTCTCACCATTTCTTTCTGATTGATGCTCAAGTATTTCATGCATAAGAGAGATTCTTTGAAGGGAATCTTCATTTATTAACCCGGGAACTTGCTTACGAGCAAGCAAAACTTCGGTCAGAGGTGTCCTTGATACCAATGAGCACTGCAGCAATTCCAAGATCTAAAACAAAGACATGAAAATGGGTTCCTGTACATAGCACAAGGCTAGACAATACTGCAACAGCTCATATATTAGATCATACCTCTGTTACTCCAATGTCAAAAATCCTCTCCTCGATGTTACTTGTATCCATGACTCCAAGCTTTGTAAGAAGAGAAATGCTTGCTGAAGTTGATGCTGGCATCACTTGAAAATTGTCACTTACAACAAATCGGGCCAGTTTTCTTTAACAAACACTCCACGATTTCTTTCGTCAGATCCACTATTTGATGGAGCCGGACATGGTAGATTCAAAATACGGCCCATGGGACGTCCACAACCACAATAAAGATTTTTGTGATGACTCCACAACTTGTAGCCAGAAAGAGTACAATCGGAACTCTGGCAACCAAAGATACTTAAGGTATCAATGCCATCAATTTTCAGTTTTAGTCTCTTACAATAAGCTGCAGCGGCATTATGAGGATGTAGCAACATGTCCTTGCATGCTTCAGTCCGGAAATACCTAAAATCTATATTTTCAACACTTTTATACAAGTTGTTGATGCAAACAATCCCATTTGTCGGTGACAGATTACTGATGAGATGGGTGATTGTTCCCATGGGCATTGTCAAAAAACTGAAAAGGATGTCAACAAAGAACTCGTCAGATTCAACAAATACAACTCTGTTGCTCTTCTTGTCCACGGATGCCTTCAAGCTAATGGTTGCCATGGATTGAGATGAAATGGTGTTCAAGCTAGTCAAGAGGTGGTACCTGTTGGTCCAAATTCTGGGCAACAGCTCTGATACGAATTGTTGGCTATGGACCCTGGGCAACAATGGTGAGTAAATAAAACACAGTAGTCTTTTATTTAGTGGTGATACATGAAAATCACACCATAGTTAATGGAAGCCTACACTTTTTCACTGTTATATTAAAATAATATTTTTTTTAAAATTTATTTTTTATATTATAATATTAAAACTATTTAAAAACATTAAAAAAATTAATTTAAAATAAAAATAAATAATTTTTTAAAAAAATAAAAATAACAACCTTAATTCTAAACAGGATAAATCATACTCTTCATTACTAAGTAATGCATCTTGCATTAATCATCACAGTTACATACTTTTTTTTAATTTTTTGTGATGAGAGTATTTTGACATATTTTGTTTTTTTATATAAAGGTGTTTTTAAAAAAATATATTAAAATAATGTTTAATTTTTTTAGAACTTTTATACTCGCGTATGAAAATTATTAAAAACATTAAAAAATATATTTAATATATTTTTAAAATAAATACAATTTTTAAAACGCAGTTAAAGATAAAAATCTCAAGCAAGCACGAAATTCAAGATAAATGACTTTTGACATGCTGTTCTTTCCACATTGGCACTGACTTGTGACTTGGTCACACCGGCAAATAATTCCTTAACAGCTAAGGAATTCTAGAAATTCTTGATTGATCTTCAACAGTGACACCCTATCACTGTTAGCAAGAAAATTCGGTCTTTTGTACTGCAAAGCGAAGGTCAAAAGATCTCATCAACACACCTGCAATGGCTGGCGTGGAACAGATTACCAAGTTTAGTTATACAGGAAGCAAAAGCCATGAAAGGAGAATGGATAGTTCAATCAATGCTCTCATCTAGCTAAGAGAAGATTGAAAGACAATCAAAGTTAATGGAAGATTCTTTCAAGAAAGAAGCAATTAACTAACTGGTTACACGACTATTGTAAGTTCTTGGCTATTGGATTGCCTAAGAGTAGATATTGCAGTGAATTGGAAACTACTGTAGTTTAATTTATTATGCAGGAGATCAATATTGTTCTTGGACTAGCCATCTATCTCAAAGTAAAGAAAAACCTAAGAGAAAGAAGAGCTTGTTCAGGAGTAGCTAGATTATGGGCATTGCATGGTAGCTGTTAAGTTTATCAAAAGCAATAGAGAAGGCAAGTAGATTATTTTCATATTTGAACAACCATAGTTTCAGACGAAGAACAAGAAGGCCTATACAGCTCTTCCTGTCATTAATTAAAAATTAGAGCTGCCATTTTGGATGAGAGAAAGCGTTTAGTGGACAGCTTTTTGCTGATTGTAATCAATTGGACCTGGTTTCAGACCTGAAGACCATTTCCTTCAAGAACTTTAATTATGGCGCAGTCATTCACTGTCAGCTTAAACCAATTACACTAAATCCCTAGCTTGATTCAGGAGACGATTGGATCGAAAGGTTCTACGGTCCTATGGGAAAACGTGCCTGTGGTAAAAAGCGAGGGAGCAGGTACAGGTTTCAGTGGAAACCTAAAGGAATGGTTTTAATTTGGAACCAGGTTAACGTTGAGTTAACTCTGGCTTTCATAATTTACATCAACAATTTTATCAGCTGCATGTAAGCATCATCAAATCACCATAGTTTCCTAAAATAATATAATTGGAACCCTGAGCAAGGGTCAAAGCGAGTTAGAGACTCGGCTGATCATGAAATCTGGAGACATCTGTTTAATATACCACTCATTGGATTTTGCTTTGTTGCTTAGACTAAAATACTGAAAGCATCAACGTTGTGGATTTCTGCAGATAAAGTTTTGTCTTGATTCATTGAAATTAAGCTTTAATTAAAAAAAGAACAGAGGAGAAATTATTACTGTTTCATATTAGCTATATATTAACTAACAAAACACTAAAAGATTTGCTGAGTTCACTGTTCGTTCGTTCTTTTGTCAGACGTTTTCAAATAGCAGAACAGTAAAAGGTGACACAAAGCTTCTCTTTCCCGAAAGAAAGGAGACAAAAATTTATGGACGACAAAACTTGCTGGATAAAAACTTACAGCTCACTCTTCTTAAAAAAACAAAAAGTCAGAAAAAGAGAAGGCAGGATTCACAAGGAAGTTGAATCCTGGAAGCTAGCTTTAGAAAATGCTTGCCAATGTTGCTGCTTGTAATAATAAGTAAGATGATATTAACCAATTATTAGGTAGCTAGTGTTTTTACAGGGTTCATTGTATCACTGTTCTGAGCGGACCAGAAAGTATGTTGTTGTGTTTCTTTTGTTTTTTCAAGTATTTCTTATTTAAAAATATATTAAAATAATAGTTTTTTTAAAAAAAATATTTTTGATATTTATATATTAAAATAATATTAAAATATTAATTTGAAGCACAAAAAAATTAAAAAATTTTATTTTTTTAAAAAAATATTTTTTAAATACAAAATCAAACAAAACAGACTACCGTAGTGACCGAAAACCCACATTCATTAGTTAGATTACGATCAAACAAAACAGGCTATCGCAGTGACTGAAAACCCACATTCATTAGTTAGATTACGAATTACACAACTTGACCTCAAATCAATTCGATTACACCCAACAAAATTTATCTCGAATTGCACTCATTACTAAAATTATGTTTATTTTTATTTTTATATTTTAAAAATACTTTAAAAAAATTTTAAATTTTAAATTTTTTTATTTTTTTATTTTCAAATTATTTTGATACATTATTATAAAAATAGAAAATATTTTGATGTTATTGTAATTCCAAACAAGTTTTAAAATAGATACCAACATAAAAAAAAAAGAGAGAATTTCTGTGTTTCAAAATTATTTTTAGAAAAGATTAAAAAAAGTTTTTGTTTATTTTTTTTCTAAATTGTTTTGATGTATTAATATAAAAATTAAAAAAATAATATTTTTTTCACAATACTAATAAATTATAAACTTAAAAAAAAACAGAAATAGATATAAAACTTGCTGTGCAAGGACAAGGAGGAAAGTAAAATGTGGACGCTCCCTGTATTCCAGCCCATTATCCATTGTCAAAATATCATCGTTACATTATTTGTCTCAGTTAATTTTTCAAGGGTTTTTTAAAATATTTTTTTAAAAAAAGTTTGGGTTTAGTAAGGCCGGGCGAAATCAAAGTTAATTTTTTTCATTAGGCATAATTAAGACTCTAAGAAATAAAAATTTTCATCTTGATCCCTATTTTCTAACTTTTTACACTTTGGTCCATTAGCTTGAGAGAGAAGAGAGAGGATAGCCCCAAAATAACAAGAGAGAGAAGGGTGTTGTGTCATCTAATTTTGTTGGAAAAATTGGCTAGACTTGGTGCCAAAGTTTTTCACCAGCAAGGGGGTTTCATTGTAGTGTTTTTCTTGCTTTTTACATCACCTAAACAAAAATTCAAGTTCCGGTTAATATATGTATATATAAAACACACAAGCTTGTATTAGCAAAGCCCATACGCCTTTTCTTTTTTTCTTTTTTCCTCGCAGCATTGACATGCTCAATCTTCCAAGCTCGCTTGCTCACTTAGCCTTTTTTTAAAAAAAAAATTCTTTTTCCAACACCTTATATCTAACTTGTTGAAGTTAAAATTATTTAAAATATGTTTGGTATATTTAAAACATATATTTTTTCTTAGATTAGATTATTTAAGAATGTATTTTAAATATTACTAGAACCTGTTTGTTTGCAGGAAAGTAGTTTTTTTTTAGAAAGTGAATTCCAGAAAAGTAAATTATTTTTTAATGTTTGGTAGTATAATAAAAAATAAGTTGGAAAATACTTTACAGTGTTTAGTTATGTCATGTAAAATGAGTTCGGCGGTACAAACTTAGTTTTTAGTGGACCCATCTTTAAAATCTATGTTTCAAATATTTACCAAACGATTAAAATTTATGGTTGAAACAAAACACAGTTCCAACCACAATACCAAACACCTTCTTAATCACTTGACCTTTTAGACAACATGTTTGCATCTTTTTAAAAAAATAACCTTGTCACCTCCAACAATATATATGTATATATAAAACACACAAGCTTGTATTAGCAAAGCCCATACGCCTTTTCTTTTTTTCTTTTTTCCTCGCAGCATTGACATGCTCAATCTTCCAAGCTCGCTTGCTCACTTAGCCTTTTTTTTAAAAAAAAAATTCTTTTCCCAACACCTTATATCTAACTTGTTGAAGTTAAAATTATTTAAAATATGTTTGGTATATTTAAAACATATATTTTTTCTTAGATTAGATTATTTAAGAATGTATTTTAAATATTACTAGAACCTGTTTGTTTGCAGGAAAGTAGTTTTTTTTTAGAAAGTGAATTCCAGAAAAGTAAATTATTTTTTAATGTTTGGTAGTATAATAAAAAATAAGTTGGAAAATACTTTACAGTGTTTAGTTATGTCATGTAAAATGAGTTAGAAAATAACTTATTAAAGTTTTATTTTTCTCAAGTTTATTAAAATAATTAGAACTAAATGTTACAAATTCAAAGGTTGAATGATAATAAAATTAAAAAAAAATCATAAATTATCTCAAATAAAATAAATAATAATAAAAATAATAAAGATCAAATCTAAAAAATAAAAAAATAAAAAAATGAAGAAATTAAAATAATAATAGTTAACATTTCATAAATTATTGCAAATAAAATAATTAACAATCAAAAGAATGAGAACCAAATTTGATAGATAAAAAATTTCAATAAAAAAATGATAAGGAAAAAACAAATAACAATTATAAAAATGAGGACTAAAGTTAATATAAAAATTAAATTTTAAGAGCTAAAATTAAAAAATAAATATTCAAAACAAAATATATATAGTGATCAAAAGTTTGAGGATCAAATTTGATATAATCAGCAAATAATATGATATTTTTAAATTTTTCACAATTTCCAGAAAGTGTTTTCCTTCTAAATTTTCCAAGAAAACACTTTCCTGGAAACCAAACCAAATTTTTCTTTGACTGGAAAGTGTTTTCCGTTGACCAACTTTCTTAATGACAAACAAACATAGAAAAGTTTGGAAAGTGGTTTCCCCGAAACCAGTTTCCGAGAAACAAACATGGCCTAGATAACATACCTTTTTTACATTACAAGTTAGACTAATTTCTTTTTTTAATGTTAAAAAAATATATTGATGCCGTGGATATTTTTTCTAATAGCAAAAAAAATTAAATTATTTTAGAATTGATCTGATGTGACAGTGTTTAGTTATGTCATGTAAAATGAGTTAGAAAATAACTTATTAAAGTTTTATTTTTCTCAAGTTTATTAAAATAATTAGAACTAAATGTTACAAATTCAAAGGTTGAATGATAATAAAATTAAAAAAAAATCATAAATTATCTCAAATAAAATAAATAATAATAAAAATAATAAAGATCAAATCTAAAAAATAAAAAAATAAAAAAATGAAGAAATTAAAATAATAATAGTTAACATTTCATAAATTATTGCAAATAAAATAATTAACAATCAAAATAATGAGAACTAAATTTGATAGATAAAAAAATTCAATAAAAAAATGATAAGGAAAAAGCAAATAACAATTATAAAAATGAGGACTAAAGTTAATATAAAAATTAAATTTTAAGAGCTAAAATTAAAAAATAAATATTCAAAACAAAATATATATAGTGATCAAAAGTTTGAGGATCAAATTTGATATAATCAGCAAATAATATGATATTTTTAAATTTTTCACAATTTCCGGAAAGTGTTTTCCGCCCAAATTTTCCAAGAAAACACTTTCTTGGAAACCAAACCAAATTTTTCTTTGACTGGAAAGTGTTTTCCATTGACCAACTTTCTTAATGACAAACAAACATAGAAAAGTTTGGAAAGTAGTTTTCCCGAAACCAGTTTCCGGGAAACAAACATGGCCTAGATAGCATACCTTTTTTATATTACGAGTTAGATTAATTTCTTTTTTTAATGTTAAAAAAAATATTGGTGTTGTGGATATTTTTTCTAATAGCAAAAAATATTAAATTATTTTAGAATTGATCTGATGTAACTTGTTCGTCTTCATGTATCTAAATACAATTCAAAAAACTGATAAAAATATAGTTTAATTCAAAATAAATATGTAAGGTGATATGCTTTTAATAAACATTGAGAGAACAATATATTGAATCTATTTAGGTCATCTCAAGTTAACCTATCAACCCGTATACCAAGTCATGAAATCATGATAACACCATAAAAATAAATCAAAATAAATTATAAAATTTAATTTATAATAAAATCAATGTTAAAGGATGAAACTTAAAAAAAATCAATTAAAAAAATAAAAAAATTGCCTGAATCAACCTCGGTTAACCTGACAAACCCGTGATCCGCGTTATGAAATCGGGATAACACAATAGAAAATAAATTAAAATAAATTATGAAGTTAAATTTTAAATCAACTTAGTATTAAAAGATGAAATTAAAAAAAAAATCGATTAGAGAACGAGCACAAAAAAATAACTCAGGTTGACCAGGGTGAACCTGCCAAACCCGTAACCCAAGTCATAAGATGGGGATAACCTCGTAAAAAGTGGACCAAAATAAATAATAAATCCTAATTCCCAATCAACTTAATTTTGAAAGATAAATTTGAGATTAAAAAAAAATCATATAGGAAAATGGAAAAAAGAAATTGAGTCAAATGAATTAATTTATCAAACTTGTAGTTCAGGTTATAAATTTAAGATAACCTCATAAAAAGTAAATTAAGAAAAATTATGAAGCGTAATTCGTAATAAATCTAATATTAAAGGATGAAATTGAATATATATATATAAGGAAAAACTATGGATGTAAAAAAAACACTATTGAAAAACTATGGACGTAAAAAAAAACACTATTCAAGTGAATAGTCTTAGGAAAAACTATGGATGTAAAAAAAACACTATTCAAGTGAATAGTCTTATGCGAGGAGGAATACAGTAAAACCCTTTCTTTCTTTAGTTTTATATTAGATAGGTAGCCCGCATTACCATGCAGATCAAGTTAATTTTTTTGCCAATATAAAAAAAGATGTTTAGGCAATGGATAATAACCCCAGTCAATCCTAGTTAACTTTACAAATTTGCTAGCCTCAATATAAGTTCGGGATTAAAAAAATAGCTTTTAAAAAGATCAAAGTTAAATTAATAAATAAAACATTGAAAAAAAAAAGCCGAGTTAACCAAATTAACTTGACTAACTTGTGAATTAGGATAGCCAATAAAAAAAAAAGAATCTCAAAGCTTAAGGCTCAATAACTTAATATTAAATTATGAAATTATAAAAATATATATATATATATATAACTAATATTAAATTATGAAATTATAAAAAAAAATAAAAAAAAATATAAAACTAAAAAAACTAGTTAACTTGATGACCCTACGATCCACGATATGAAATCGTGATAAAAAACTATTTAAAAAAAGCCCTAAAAAAAAAAGACCTAAGCTAATTCAATAAAAAAATTAAAAAATAACTCAAGTCAAATTTACTCGGGTTAACTTGAGTATCTTGCAACTTGTGATTAACTCATGTAAAAAAAGCAAAAAAAATAAAATCACAAAGGCTCAAATAACCAAATCCTAAAAGATATATAAAAAAATCAATTTCAAGAAAATATATTTTGAAAAAAAAAAAATTCAAGTTAATCTGAGTTATCTCAATGTTAACATGTGACACGTAATATAAAATTGAAATAAAAAAAAATTAATATTTTTTTAATAAAAAATCTAGGAAAAATATCAAAGTTTTATCAATAAAAAAACATAAAAAAACTCAAGTTAAATCAAGTTAAAAAGAAAGTTAACATATAAGATCTAAAGTTCTTGTTTCAAGTTTGTATGAGTGAAGCATTGCTTAGTGACTCACCGCCAATTCAGAGATATGAAGCCTGCAACGCAAGAAATTAATATACAGGACATCAAGAGGCGGAGCGACCATTTCGCATCCTGTAGCTGCTTGAATGGCATGGCTGATTACAGGTGAACACGATGATTACAGGTGGTGTTGCAGAGAGACCATTTCACCGTGCAGTTCAATTTCATTACAAGAAGCACAAAAATAGACTATACCAACTTAATACTGTTTGCAACTTGACAAATTCCAGAAGCTGATACACCACTACTGTGTATCAATCTACCACCTGCTTCAATCCTTCCTCAAACTGGTTTGTTCCTTGTGTGTTCCAAAGTGTGCAACTATTTGATTGTATAACTTCTAGTTACGAGAATTCAGCCACCCCAGCTAGCATCCAATATGAAGTCAAAATATTCTTTTGTTTTCGCCTGAGATTCGGAATAGATATCTTGATTTGGGCCCTGAAGAGGCTTAGTTCATACTCTCTGCAAATTTCGATTATGAGAAATATCATTCCCTGGAAAATGTGTTGTTGTATATTTCAGACGTAGTTTGAAATGGGAGACCCTTTTGAGTTGCATTTTCCTGCAACAACAGAGAACCATTCTTCAACTGTATTCATTCAGGAATTCTACGCGAAGGCAGGATTGTAGTTCCGAATTGAACAAATGCCTTATACTAGATAGTCAATAACGCAAACGAAGATGTTCTCAGTATTCTTGGTTTGGAACTTTGCAGATGAAGGTATCTTTTGGCTCTTTACGGATGATGACGGTATCGGTTAAAGCAGATTCAGAAATCAAAGAAGCTGCCAAGAGACTTGAAGCCGGCAACAAAAACACCTATAGATTGTTCTAACAGCTAGGGTCATGCTATGAATTGGGAATCATAATATCAGTCATAATTGCTAATTAATGTTTAATAGTACTTTCCATTTCCCCAATATTTACAATCCTCAAGAATGGCACAGGAATTTGAAGACAGAAATCCTTTATCTAATTGCTTCTTACTTTAATTGTCATGCATCGTACCAAAATTCGAAACCTGAAAGCAGAAACAGTCTTGGAGAAAGACCATGGTGAACAGCCTTCTTTATAGACTAGGACCAGAGACATTATTTACTCGCGACCTGAAAAGGCAGATTCATTTCCCTGGATTTTCCACTAGCCCTTGGGTGCATGTATATGGAATGAGAATGTGTAAATTGAGCCAATAGAAATATATTGTATAATGATATGTTTACTAGACTCATCTACCATTGATATTCATTCAACATCTTCAATATACTATTCTTAATCACGTACCTATGCTCATAGCTTCCAAATTTTGCACACACACAAAGGAAACAAAAAACCAAAACCAACACCAACACCAATGAAAAAATATTCTCAAGTTTTTGCTGATGAAGGAATATTGGCTAAGGGTTATTCGCAGATCGATAAAGGAAGCTACCAGAGATGTGAAGCGTGCAACACGATGATATTCTGGGGAGATCAATCTCCGACAGCAATAACTAGAAAGAGCTGTGATTTGGAAGACATAATATATCTTTTGTTCTGGCTGTAGCACTACAGAGAAGTTTCAGGACAATAACCAGACAGTATTGGCTGCGAAGTCTTTGAAGAACAGTAGAAAAACACAGCTTATTTCCCAGTTTTGAAATTCCTTCGTATCACAAACCTTCTGTTTCCATTTACATTTCACGGTGCTGCCATTCAATTAATTAATATTTCGTTATGAAAAGCTTTCAAAATAGTCCAGAACAACTTAAAATACTGTTTGTGACTTCATCATAGATTGCAGAAGGAGATAGCAGGAACGCTGAATAGATATTTAGAACTTTTAAAAAAACTGTGTTTCCTCGGGAAGGTATAATTTCTAGTGTATGCTTTGCCACCAAGTGAGAGCTTTTTTCGGTGTGGTTCAAGATACTCTCTGCCTACCAATTTGGAGCTGTAAGCCCTTTCTAAATTGTGTTTCCATACCGAGTCAAAAGAGAAAACAACTATAGTTTAGGTATCATGGAGCAAAAGAAGTACCTTAATTCGACGTACATGGAAGACTTGAGATTCAATAATACTCCTAAACATGACAGACTATCTATCACATTAATAAAAAACCAGGTTCAAGATGACCAGAAAATATACTTGATCAATTAACAACACAGATGTCGTCAAGATTATTCTTTCAGAACGTCGGAAATGAAGGCATCTTTTGGCATCTTACGTATGAAGGTATCAGTAAGAGCAGATTCAGATACAAAAGAAGCTGCTAAGAGACGGGAAGCCTGCAGCATGAAAAAGAAAATGCCCATCAAACCAATATTCCTGTTTGAAGACTGTTATGATGCGAATTTTAACAAATTCCATTAACTTAAATGGATCTTAGAAGAACAGGCAAAATAGTTTTTTTGCCACTTCTATCCTATAAATCTGTTAGGTTGAATAAATAGAATAAAAAATAATAAACTTACAGTTCTGAAGACAAAATTAACAAAGACATAAGCATGAAATTGACAGGCCTGATTTTTCTTAAGAGCTTTATAATTAACTATGAAATATCATGGCTAATAAGAGAGTGCAGAAATTTGTTAGTTTGACTTACCTCTTCTCTGCCAACTTGAACCTCGCAGACATGGATGTCATTCAAAGGTATCTTCAATTTTTCCAGTAAAGATAGTTCTGAGGCAGGCGATATTGGTGTAACAACAAGATCGTCACTTACTGTGAACATCGCAGGATCTAGCAAAAATCCATCACCTTCAGTGCCCTCTTTGTAGGATGATTTGGGATCCATCATAGTTAAAAGTGTGCGTGTATGACCAAAATGACATTTGATGCTCAAGTATTTCATGCATAAGAGAGATTCTTTGAAGGGAATCTTCATTTATTAACCCGGGAACTTGCTTACGAGCAAGCAAAACTTCGGTCAGAGGTGTCCTTGATGCCAATGAGCACTGCAGCAATTCCAAGATCTAAAACAAAGACATTAAAATGGGTACCTGTACATAGCACAAGGCTAGACAATACTGCAACAGCTCATATATTAGATCATACCTCTGTTACTCCAATGTCAAAAATCCTCTCCTCGATGTTACTTGTATCCATGACTCCAAGCTTTGTAAGAAGAGAAATGCTTGCTGAAGTTGATGCTGGCATCACTTGAAAATTGTCACTTACAACAAATCGGGCCAGTTTTCTTTAACAAACACTCCACGATTTCTTTCGTCAGATCCACTATTTGATGGAGCCGGACATGGTAGATTCAAAATACGGCCCATGGGACGTCCACAACCACAATAAAGATTTTTGTGATGACTCCACAACTTGTAGCCAGAAAGAGTACAATCGGAACTCTGGCAACCAAAGATACTTAAGGTATCAATGCCATCAATTTTCAGTTTTAGTCTCTTACAATAAGCTGCAGCGGCATTATGAGGATGTAGCAACATGTCCTTGCATGCTTCAGTCCGGAAATACCTAAAATCTATATTTTCAACACTTTTATACAAGTTGTTGATGCAAACAATCCCATTTGTCGGTGACAGATTACTGATGAGATGGATGATTGTTCCCATGGGCATTGTCAAAAAACTGAAAAGGATGTCAACAAAGAACTCGTCAGATTCAACAAATACAACTCTGTTGCTCTTCTTGTCCACAGATGCCTTCAAGCTAATGGTTGCCATGGATTGAGATGAAATTTTGTTCAAGCGAGCCAACCAGACAACTCAATCTGGAGTCAAAAGGTGGTGACGTATGGATTCTGAGCAACAATGGTAAGTAAAGTCTTTTATTTAGTGGTGGTACACACTCACACAATAAACACTCTCATTTTAGTAATATTTCTCACACCACTCAATATCTGATCTCTTTTTCTCACCCGCTCACAGCACACACCCCAGTCAATCTCTCTTATACTGGAACCAAAGGCCATGAAAGGGGAATGGATAGTTCAATCACTGCTCTTATCTAAGAGAAGATGGAAAGACAATCAAAGTTAATGGAAGATTCTTTCGAGAAAGAAGCAATTAACTAACCGGTTAGACGACTATTGTAAGTTCTTGGCTATTGGATTGCCTAAGAGTAGATGCAGTGAATTGGAAACTGTAGTTTAATTTGTTATGTAGGGGATCAATGTTCTTGGACTAACCATCAATCTCAGAGTAAAGAAAAACTTAAGAAAAAGAAGCTTGTTCAAGGAGTCTTGAATTTAACCCTGGATTAGGAGTTTTTTCTTATTATTGGGAATGGAGTTATATCACCTTGTGCAACGCTGTGAATTGTGAATCACAATACTAGTTGTGAATTTCTATAATTCTATACTTGCTTTTCCCCTCCCCTCGTTTTTTTACGTGACATTTACAATCCTCGAGAATTTCAAGGCATAAATGAACTTAATTGTGAAGCAGAAATTTTGTGTCATAACTGTTCTTCCATTAATTGTGAGGTTCCAGTGCCTTCTCCAGTCTCCACAAACAAGGACAAGATAAACTTTACTCCTGACTCTTCATTTCAACTGGATTTACCACCATCCGCTGTTGTGTGTGTTTATATATATATATACATACCGAGTTGGATAGCATGATGAGCAAGAATTTGAGATTTACATAGTAATTTTTGAATTCAAATTAAAATATATATTTCTTATAAAAATCTAGAACAATCAAAGTTTTATTTATTCATGGATTTAAATGACATGTTTTTCAGAAAGTGAAGTTTTCTTGAATAAAAAAAAAATTATATATATATATATATGGCGCTTGTGTGAATAGTCGGTAGGAACATATTATATATATAATATATGATGATAAGCTGCCCAGACTAGACTAAATATATATATATATATATGATGATAAGCTGCCCAGACTAGACTCCTCTAAAATTACCGTGACAGATTCTATGCTTTCCGTTAAGAACTTCCAAACTTTGAACAGAAAAAAGCGAGTCAGTGTAACATATGGGAAACTCGGATTCATATTTAGTGGAGAATTTGATTAAAAAAATCAAATTGAAAATTTAGAAAAAAAAAATCATGATTTCAATCCACAATAATAATTTATAAGGGAATAAAATATTAATTTTAGTTACATTGAAAATACCAGAAAGCTTAGTTTATGTTAATTAGTTATAAACTAGTAAGACTAATTAAATTATTAATAAATACAAGTATTTTCGTGTTTCTGCCCTTCTGTGGATAAATACAAGTATTACTAACATGGTGTACACGATATTCAAGTGATAGCCAATATTTTTCTGTGTGTAAAAAAAAAAATTTAGACGTCAAACATTCTACATGTGAAAATAAGAAAATTCAAATTAAATTTTTAAATATGCATTTATTTTTACTGGAACTAATTGAATCATGAATTTTAATTTAGCATATTTATTGTTAACAGTGCGAGGCAGTGAAAAAAACAGAAGTTTTAAAATCCCAAATCAGCTTGTGTCGAGGACCCCTTATACTATTTAAAAAAATTATGCTATTAAAATAGATAAATTATATAACATTATTCAGTATGGCTAATAATTAATATACTATCTTATATTATATTGTTGATAGTATCAATTATTTTCTCAAACAACAAGTTATAATCTCATTGCATGTAGTATTGGATTAATGATTTATTTATATTTTATCTGGTATTAATGAGATTGTTAACCTATTCTAAGAATATTATAAATAAAAGAATGACAATGTTTATAATTGCACAATAAGAGTTGAAGAATCTGTTCAAAAGAAACAAATAAAGGTTTAAATCTCTCACTTTTGAAAGGCAAATGGATAGTGTTTTAATTAAGTGGGGAAAAAATAATTTACAATAAGATGAATTTATTAATGAATAAGTTTTTTTTTATAAAACATAAATTCTCTGTAATATTTTCCGTTTGATTTAATTTTTATTAAAAAGATAATTAAATTAAATTTTTTTAAAAAAACTGAAATTAGTTCAAACCAATTAGTTTTTATTTGATTGTTTTAGACAAAATTAGTTCAAACCGGTTTGGATTAAATTTTTATTTTTGGCTCAATTTGTTTTTAATTTGACTTGATTTTTTTAGTTTTAGATTTATAAAATTAAAACCGGACCGGACCGAACCGGTTAATTTTCTTAAAATTTTAATTAGTTTTTTTTACAATTTAATTTTTTTAATTTTTTTTAATTTTTTTAATTTAATTAATTTTTTAATTTTTTTAATCACCGATATATTTCACCACTAATATATTTTGTGGTTTGAGAAGATTTTTTTCGTTTCTACGCTACAAAAATTAATTTTCTTAAGAGAGTCGTAAACGCAGAAGTCATTTAAAAATTAAAGAAAAAGAGGTCCTGGAAAACATTCAGCTAAACAGCATAACGACGCCGTGTAGCGTCAAACAAGGGAGTCTCTTGTTTTTCTTTCTACTTTCTTTTTCACTGCCTCGTAAGTAACCCCAGCGCCCCTTGGATCTTGAAGCCTCCACACACCAGCCAATCAACCAAATGATCTGGCGCATCTCCTTTTTGAACAATCTCTTTCAAGAATCTGTGCTCTCTTTAACCCTTTTCTACTTACCAATGGCTTCGATGCTCGCGTTAAATGTACACGTTCTTGGATTCTTCAATTTAAACCCTAACTAACGCTTTCCATTTCTAACTTCTCCATCAAATAATCTTCTGCTTTACTTTTTCCAGGGGTATCTAACCTGCGAGATTCAGGTATGTGAGTTCTTACGCACTGTATTCCCCTTTCTCCCGGTGCGATTGTTTATTGTTTAGCTTTAAGAAAACGTTATTTGATACGAGAAATTGTATTGTTAGGGTTGGATAGATTGATGTTGCTTGGGAGTTGAATAAGCAGAGACTGATACTTTACTATGGGATTTGATAACGAGTGTATACCTAATATTCAATCTCTTGCCGGCGAGTATTTTTGTCCGGTCTGTCGTCTTCTTGTGTACCCAAACGAAGCATTACAATCACAATGTACTCACTTGTACTGCAAACCGTGTTTGACGTATGTTGTGAGCACTACCCGAGCTTGCCCCTATGATGGCTACTTAGTGACAGAAGCAGATTCCAAGGTTTTTCCTTGCCTATCATGGTGATGAGTCTAATTGCTGTGGCAGTGATGTTATGTACGTGCTAATGTACTTGTTTTTTATTGTTCATTGCAGCCGCTTATTGAATCGAATAAAACGCTTGCTGAAACCATTGGCAAGATAACAGTCCATTGTTTGTATCATAGGAGTGGGTGCCCGTGGCAGGGTACTCTATCCGATTGCACATCTCATTGCTCAGGATGCGCCTTTGGTAATTCTCCTGTAGTTTGCAACAGGTGTGGAACTCAAATTGTGCATAGACAAGTGCAGGAACATGCTCAAAACTGTCCAGTGAGTCCGAGAAACTTTTTATTTAGGATTCAAACTGTGGAGTCGGTTTGTACTTACGTTAGATTGTTATTTACTTTCTTCTTGTTCAATTACAGGGTGTGCAGCCTCAACCACAACGTTCTGAGGGTGCTCAGGATGCAACGAACACGGGTATGCCAACTACTGGTAATCAAGGTCAGGCTGCCATTCAAACAGGAGCATCTACTTCACAGGCTCAAACTTCTACGACCTCAACACCTGCAAAAGATACCATCCAGCAAATCAGCACAACTACGCAGGCCCAGACTTCAGTACAGGCCGCTGTACCCTCTGCAGAACGGTGGTATCAACAACAGCCGCCATCAGCCGCAATATCAACAATACTACCAGCAGTATCCTGGATATGACCCATACCAACAGCATTATCAGCAATACTACCCATATCAACAGCAAGCAGTCTCACAATATCAGCAACCA